ACAAGTTCAGTTGTCGTCTAAAACGGAAAATGGTGGTACAAGTACAATATCTGAAGTAGTAATGACACTAGCATCACCAAAGACAAGCAGCAGGCATTTATTGATATTAATCTAATAAATTTCAATGCCAAAGTTAAATGAAAGAGACTGAATTACACCGACAACAGTTGCTAACTTTTCAATTAAATTGCACGTGATGAAGCTAACTTGATGGCCGGGCTATATCAATGTTCCGAATATTTTTACCAAGTAATATTTGAAGTAACAAAATATATTTTGATGATGCTTCCAGATTTCACTCTAACTTACTTATTAAAAATTTGAAACGAACATATTTTTGTACACTTATACAGTGCTCTACTAACAGTTATGCATTGCTCTTAGAACGCAAAATATGCATTTATATCTGAATATCTCAACAAAATATGTAATTTGGGCAACGTACCAAAGGAAAGAACTCGCGCACGAAAGTTTGGCGTACGTCTATCACGAGAGGCTGCGTATATTCAGCGCCTCACGCCGGCTGAGACAGGCTGCCAGGTGGCATAATTGAGTTCTATTTCGTGGCAGTTCGATCACACATCAATAAAAATACATTTCAAACAACATTGCAGAAATTTTATTTAAAAATACGGAGCATCGAAAGAGAAAAGGGGATATATTGAGGTTGAGTCTAAAATTATAAGTATTATAGTTTATGCATGCTAACAAACGCAGACATCATTAGAAATTTAACAACCAGTAAACTAAAAAAAATGCTATAAGAATTTTGAAGGACAGCAATCCCTGAAGCATTCAACAATCATGCATGCATGCATGGGTCTCTGCCGACTCATGTACGCCAAATTTACAACACCGACTGGCGACTAAGCTTTAGTTGTGGATTCGGGAAATGCTTCACAAATGTGAAATTAAAACATAATTTTTTTAAAGACAGAACAACAAAACTGGATATCCTCATGAAGTGTGCTGAGCAACAAACATTCCGCCCATCGCAAGTGAAGAAAAGTAAATCATCATAAGGCGACCAGTAAATCATTTAGCATTCTCATGAGAACTGATACTCAAAACCAACCAGAGTTGAGCAGGACTTGCCAATGCTACTCCTCCAGATAATGGAGCTAAATTTGTGTGGGTGTGGAGAACGCCCTTGTCGGACCCACTGATCATGCTCGTACGTACGAACTAACATACTCTATCGAAACAGCCACTTATGGGGCAGATCAACTTCTCACAGGCTCCCGGCTTTTGCTTGCAATTGAACTAGAAGAGCCTTCTCGTCGTTCGTGGGGTGATGGTTCATACAATAAAAGAATGGATAGCTCAGAGAGTTTAATTAGATAAGTACATGCAGCTAGGAATGAAACTTTGGTGCTAAACAACACGGAGTACGCCGTTCTTCTTGTTTTAACTCATATTTTTCGTAAAACAAAAACTTGAAGGTATGCTAGAGCCACGTATCTGAAAAAAAAAAGAAATTTGAAATACGTAGGACTTATGGGACTCAAGAATGACTAGAAACCATGAATTTGTGGTGGAACTATTATTCGTTTCAATGTCATGTGTCATGAAAACCAGTGATCTGACTCTTAATTCTTCATGAAAAAGAAATACGTGTTATTACGCACTTTATAGATCGAACAGATCACCAAAATTATGATAGAAATAACTGCACAAATGTGCCTCACCAATTACAGATAATTGAGATTTCCCAAAAGAACTCAATAGGCGGTAAAGCTGCAAGCTGGAAAAGAAAGCTGCACAGTACTTGCTCTTCACTACGTTGCTGCTAACACTAGTGCTCCAGCTCCAGTCATTACCAACTGATTGTGATGAGAGCACAACGTCGGAAAGTGATGAGGACGGTCACAGGAGGCGCTATACGTTGGAATCAAGTGACGTAAACGAAGAGTACTTTCCTAGATCCTCGAAGTCTGATGCATTAACCTAGTACGAGGAGAAGAGGGGAGGGAAGGAGAGGATTGGGGCAGCCAATCACGCGGCCACACATACAGACGGACACACAACCGTCGTGTCGCCTCTTAACTGCTTCCAAACACTCCGACAACAAACTTACGCACGCACTCACACGTGCACACTTCGCCCTGCGGTCTCTAAGTGAACTATTACCGTGGCTGCGAAGTAGGCAGGATTACATCCGAATTGTGGATAACTGCTGCTTCCGAGAGCATAAAATAATGCTGTTTGGAGACTATAAGAATATCTCATTGATAGCTTTCTCTGTGTCTATTCAAAGGCTTAATTGAATAAACAAAATTATCTACAATACTACGTTCAATCCATAATCTGTAAAAGAGTATTCATACAACTCTTGCTAGTCTCAACATTGGAACTGGAGCACCAAATCGAAAACGCTGGATTGTCGCTAGTTAACTCATTAATCGGTGAAGCGTGAGTTTCATCTTAAGCAGCTAAACCGAGATCTGTCACTCAAGCAGGAATGTAGTATGTCCATCAAGAATAAATCTCATCACTGAGATATGGATATTTTTTTCATTATACGTTAAACATAACGGTTTAATAAAATTAACAATAAAGTAAAAAAAAATGAAGTCGAGTTTTAGCATCTATGAACGAATGTTTTAAGGCCATCAGGAGCGTCATTTAACTGCAAAAGATGAGCAACACTAATAGATAAAGCGGGCAGTTATCACGAGAGCAAACGCTCTTGACAGCAAAAGGTACCATCGGCATCAAGAGCGGGAGGAATTTGACAAGAGTATGCGGCTTGCTCGGCCAGCTGGGAAGTCGAGTGCAGCCGCCTTGCTCTGCACGAGCGTCCACGCGGGAATGGTTTGTGTTATTTACGTGGGAAGTAATGCCCTAACTGCTCCCAATTGTCAATATCCTATAATCTTAAACTTCAACACAGGTGTCGTGAATTTCTATGAAAAATTACTTTATTCATTGCGAGCTCTATTCGACATTATTGTCTTTAATTCGTGACACAACACTATCGCCAATGATACAACGTGAACGGGCGTCAGAACAAGGAGGTGCCGATTACTCAATTATGAAGAGAATTTTGTAACTGCCTTCATAGAAGCTCAAGCACAACGCATCTAGATAGACTTTCTCGAAGAGCACATGCAAAATTTTAATGATTTTGCATTCAATATTTCTATAAGTATTTTTCCATACGAAATTACTCGCATAATATAGATTGATCGCTAAATTAAGCAATAAAAAAGTAGAAAAACAGTAAGTTTCGCACGGACTCGAAATGTCCAACTGCCTAAGATCGTCCAGCACACATTAGGAGCTAAAAATTTTGAACTGATTATGTAAAAAAATTATACGACAAAATTGATAACTCGTCGGGCGATAACTAACACGAAACAACATATGCGTTTGAGGCTACTTAACTTTAGTTTCAATAACTTAGTAACTATAAACCGAAGCAAATACATGCACCCATATACACGGAGTGAGCCATCATCAATTCGCTTTAGCACGTGAGTAGCGGTGTTAGTGCACGGGCGTCGGCTCCCGCGTTCACACACCACTTTCAGAGGCAACTTATTTTCAAATTCATTTAGCATCAAATGAAGGAGACTCACTTTTTAGCAGACATCGGCATGGAGCAGGGAAGCAGGTTGTGAATACATTCATATCACTGGTGGGTGAATTAGCTCGAAGAAAAAGCATGCGGATGGTAAACTGTCTTATGTTTTTTTTTTTAATTTTTCTTTTCTGTATTTTAATCTTATAAATTCTTTCTGTTTCTTATGCAGCGATGCTTTAAATACATTTAGGGACATTGGTTTAGAAAATGTAGTCAGCCATTGTGAGATTTCGAGGGGATACATTTTCGTTTAGCCCGGTTCGTGGAACACAAGATTAAATGGTGATAACTTTACGTATAACAGATTGTTGGAGACGGATACAGGTTATAGAGATGGTGACTGAAACGCCAACGAGATAAACATCTCTGAACGGAAACCCAATTGGCGATGAGTGGTAAAAACCTAGGCTGGTGGTTACCACATCTCTTGCACCAAAACTTGCCTTATCTCAAGTACTAGTGAAATTTTGATTGATAAATTTGCATACCGGAAGGTAAAAACTGCGAGGAGAGCTCATTGTTCAGCTATACTTTAAAATAGGTGACGGCAGTTGAGAAAAATAGTTAATTAAAGGTGGGATCTATAATTTTAATCGAGAGATCTTGGAGACTTAGGTTCTGATATCGCACAGAGAACGTAGCAAAAATCCGCAGAAATTAAAATAGCATTTCATACAAGATAAGCAAAGATATATCACTACTAAACTAAGTGGGAAATTCTTGGTAGAAGTAACATATAAACCGAAGATGACAACAAAAATTATATATATAGACATATTTGGCGTTCAAAATTTGCAGTCTGAGTTTTTCAACTTGGATCACTTAGCAGCACGAATTAAAAGGGAATTGTCATGTGTTGAACTAAAACCGCTGGAATACTAATTCATACCACAAACGTCTCAAAATGACGACTAACGAAAAATACTAATAATACAACCTAACAGCACATGCGTAGGCAACGTGTGACCAGACACAAAGAAGCTCTCCGATTAGACTTCTCAGGCAGTGGTTGCGTGATCCTCTTGATTTGAAGATTTTTCACAAGGTCCATACTCAACACGTACGTGGTCATGATCAATACAGACCTCTGCCCTGCTCCTAGCTGTGTAGTTTGGTCAGGGGTGCTCGCCCCTCTCTGGCTTGCCTGAGATAACCGCCCTTCCAGACGTCAGCGCGGCGCCCGCGACACGCTTCCTCCCTCCTAAACAACTTTCCCAGCCGATCATTGCGCCTCCGCCACCATACATCAACGACGATCACTTGCTACTTATTTCCTTCTCATGATGTGGCAACAGTTTCATCGTAGAAACGAATTTTCCCTTAACGAGCTAAAATATTCTTCTCGTAAGCCGTTAAGAAAATACAAGGAACGGCGGAGGGATTCAGCACGATATAATTTACGTTTCAAAATTTTTGCATCGGCCTGGAATTGAACCCGGGCCTCCCGCGTGGCAGGCGAGAATTCTACCACTGAACCACCGATGCTTATATTATATCTCATGTTTGATGTCAATAGAACTCAATAACATACACAGTAAATTCGTGCAATGCCTTACCGAAAAATATCTGCACACCGCACACGTAGCGAGATAAATAACCCCTCCAAATGTCCATTCACTACCCTTATACCTAACCTCAGCCTCATTCCATTACCAGGAGCTTTTTTTTACCAATTTGATATCCAAGGACTTACAGTTAAATTGCAAAGAAAGTTCAAGTCTTGTTTCAGTCTTCAGACTTGAACTGAAATAACTGACGACGTTGCTATTGCTGTGAATAAAATGATAAGCATGAACCGCATAGATTTCTTCTGCATCATTTGAGCTGACATTGCAATGGAAAATAGCACGCTAGAAACATAAGGTGATCAGTGAACAATCATGAAAGTCTCACCTAATAAAATATATTTCTCCCCGGCGGGGAATCGAACCCCGGTCTCCCGCGTGACAGGCGGGGATACTCACCACTATACTACCGAGGAGTGATACGTGAGCAAGATTTATTCTCACTAGACCTACTAAAAAATGAAATTAATGCTCTCTTCTGAATTGGTAAAAACTTAGCTTATCGTTATGCCACTGAAGACTGAACATACTTTAAGTTACGTCTAAATTTTCAACTATAATTCGAACTCGTACAAAATAAAACCAACTTGAGGGAGTTCAACTGTATGGTCGCAGATATTTCTCAGAGTAGTAATTTAGAACTATCCTCCTGTTAGCCGAAATCTCGACGCAATTCACTTCACTTACCTAGTGTTGCCCCACATAGTGTGAAAATTAGGGGATCTCTTAGTCAATCGTTTGATTTAGAAAGCAATCTTACTAGATTTTTGGTTTCGAGGTATGAAATCTATGTGGATTAACTTCGCACCTCGAGGGCTAACTGCAATTCTGACTCAATTTATAACTTAAGACATAAATTCATAATTAACGTGAGAGACGCAGCGCACGGAGAATTTTTTCTCCTTTCTAATGAACAACAAACAAACAAAAAAAGAATGGGAAGTATCCAGATTTGCGTACATACAAGCTATGCAACCTGAGCAGCCGCGCAATCATTACCTTGACTGCGTCAATGTAAAATTTACATTGTAGCCAAAACGAGTGTGCAATCATGTCTCCCCCTCCCCCCTTTGTTTGGAAGTTGCTTGGTTAGCTTGCCGCCGGGTGTGTTTGTGTGTACGTACGTCGGGCTTGAGCCAGGCCAAGTGGTCAGTGACGTCGTGAGAAGAGTCGAGTGACGTCACACAGATCACCAAGAAGCTGATGTCGCGCTAATAGGTAGTGGTCGGGTGGAAGTAAGAACCGCTCATCAGTCACTACAACTTGCTGTAAGTGCTTACTTCCTGTCCAATATTGAGTAGAAAATTCAACCCTGTATTTGATAGCGCCTGAAGAGAAAATATTAAATTTTGCGAAATGATCGTGTTGAAGAGCCTAACGACACTCTGTGGTTAATTTCAATTCATAATAAGTTGCGTGCTATGCAATGCGCTTAGAAGTTTGTGAGTGAAAGGGTTACATCTTTGACGTGAGCAACAGAAGCTCGCCTTAAAGCTGCACAGAAGTTTCTTCCCGCCAGAGACTGCCGCCGCAAGTGCATGAGAGAGAGAGAGAGATAGAGAGATATAGAGAGAAAAGAGAGAGAGAGGGAGAGGTGCATTGCAGGGTCAGTCTTTCCTTCACTGGCCGCACTTACGCAGGTGACCTTCAATGATTTACTTCCCGCGATGCACCATGATATGTTCATTATAAGCTGTGTGTTTCGAGGATAAGTCAATATTAATAAAATTCACACAATTTCATTTCAACACTCACTACGCTATCAATGCGTGAAGATAAACTAGTCTATAAAGTTTCGGCCATCTTAAAAAAATTATTGGTTTTCGATTAAATGAAATTGGAAATGTCTTACCTTAAACGGTTTGGGCTGCAGTTTTTCGAGAATTTTACCATATTATACCAATTGAAATGAACTCCTGTGACGGCAGTCAAGTTTCTCAGCAGATTTTTCTCATCACACGTGGCAAGCTTATAGTACATCAAGGAAGATCGTTTCAATAAGTAAAATGATGTCGAATAAAATTCAACAGCAAGAGAGCATATCTATTTAACATAGTTTATTAAGGCGGTGAGTCGTCAGTGAAGTTTCTCATCTAATTTCAATAAAATTTGAATTATGATCCTCAACCTTGTACAACATATATGCATCTATGATCTTGAATCTAGTTTTTCAATTATCCATAAGGTGAGTGGAGTGCATGCTGTGCGAGTCGAGGCTAGCGAGCTGACACTTTTCAAACGTTCCGCAGTAACGGACTTGGCACAGCTCTTAAACAAGGCTGCCATGGCAACCGGAGCATGGCCACTCGTCCGTCTTTTAATACAGAGATATAGAACTTTTCTATAATTGATCATAAAATTTATCCTCGATGCATCAAATAAATACGTTTTAGTTGAAATATGAAATACAATTTGCCTTCTGAATGTTTGAAAATACCTTTTCTGGCTTCAAGACGTGTATGAGTAAGATAAGTAAACAACATACGAAGCGACAACTGGGCACATTGGAAGAAGTATCGAAGCAGAACAACTCAGTTCTTACTGGTGAAATAATAGCTGATGAAGGCCTGATAAGTCATGTTCAAATAACGATCGGCTGCGACTTGTGGTCAGTGGCCACCAGAGAGCAGCACCTACTGGCGCAGCTCGCTAACGTGCTGAATTGATTGAGAACGCCGAAGTTCTGGCGCCTGCAATTTGTTGGGATGTATTGAAGAAAGCAAGTTCGTTTATATAACATCATAGCTTAATAGGAGTTTTTTCTTCTTGAAAAAGCGTAGGCACCGAGTTAGACGAGAATTGGTGGTCAGTGAAACTGGATTGTTTTGTTTTCATTTTACCCTTGTGAAAAATACATCTCAAAAACGTCGGAAAATATCAATTGAAATTCTCATTTACCTCTTATTTAGTTTTATAAAAAGTCACCTAAGATTAGAACCTTGAAAATATATTAGTATTTATGATTAGTAAGTATTTACTGAAAATTAATTTTACAGATCCATTAGATAGTATATTACACTTTTTTTAAACGGTCAAACGTAGACACTCTAGAACGACTATTATGCATATAGAAACGAAAAATATTTTCATAATGTACAAATTTAATTTGTTTCACTGGAAATCATTTATCCCATGCATATTTAAATAAATATTAAAATGAATGAGTGGCTAAAATGAATTAAGCAGTGAAATTAAACTTATACGTTAATTTGTGACATAAATCATTGAGTGGCACCCGAATGAAGTTATAATGAAACGCTAGTCCAATAAAAAAGAACGAAAAATCATAATTTACAATCCTGTAATATTATCATGGCGAGGTGGCCGAGTGGTTAAGGCGTTGGACTGCTAATCCAATACGGTCTCCGTGCGTGGGTTCGAATCCCATCCTCGTCGTACTGAATTTTTCATTTCCAGTGGAGACTTGACCTCACACTTACTAACGTCTCGTCTCAAAGTAACAGCGTGTTAAACATAAGTCATGTCCGAAACCGAATAAACATAATAGGTAATTAAATAAGACAAATTGCAAATTAATGCGATCATACCAACTGTGATCGTACTAATTAAAAAGGTCGACATTGGTGAAGTATGCAGCTCCAGTAAATGAGAAAAAAATATAACTCGGTACTCACTGCAGTGAGTGACAGAGAGCGCATTTTCTCGTCGACGAAAACTTGAGGTCACGGACGGACGGACAGACGGACATGGCGAGCACAATAGTGCATTTTTCCATAAATGAGAAAATGCGCTAAAAACAGGATACATGTGCTTGCAGTTATAGAGCTTATACCGCACGTCTTTATTACAGTGACTTAATGAGTAATAAAAACAACATTATTCACAACACATAAGCTGAAACCTGAATGTTCCATCAATGATGTGATGTTCATCAATCACATCCTATAATTCATTATTATATAAGCAATTGCCCAGCAGGCCCGAGGCAAGTTTACATCGTATGACAGGAGATGTGCGTGTGGCAGCAGTCAGTGGCAGCAGTGGCAGGAGATGTGCGTGTGGCAGCAGTCAGTGGCAGCAGTGGCAGGAGATGTGCGTGAGGCAGCAGCCAGTGGCAGCAGTGACAGGAGATGTGCGAGTGGCAGCAGTCAGTGGCAGCAGTGACAGGAGATGTGCGTGTGGCAACAGTCAGTGGCAGCAGTGGCAGGAGATGTGGAGGCGAGCGAGTTTCAAGTGTCACGAAGCGTCACGCAACTCCCGCACCCTTGAACTAATGAGCTGTGTTGTTCCTTAGATCAATACACGCACACACGCCTCAACACGCGCCTCAACACACGCCTCAACACACGCCTCAACACGCCTCAACACACGCCTCAACACACGCCTCAACACACGCCTCAAACACACCTCAACACAAACCTCAAAACACACGCCTCAACACACGCCTCAACACACACGCCTCAACACACACGCCTCAACACGCGCCTCAACACACACCTCAACACACGCCTCAACACACACCTCAACACACACCTCAACACAAACGCCTCAACACACGCCTCAACACACACGCCTCAACACGCGCCTCAACACACACCTCAACACACGCCTCAACACACGCCTCAACACACGCCTCAACATACTTCTCGAAAAAAAGTAAATATAATGTTCGGAGTAATGCCCATAGACTTGCTGTTGAATTTTTCCTACATCCTTATATGTAATTATCATCAGATTCTTGCGAATAGTGAAATAAACTTCTGGAAATGTCAGGAAGTTCTGCCAGTCCCCGCGTGTAGTTCAGGATAAGAACGGAGACGCTAGAGTGGACCGGCCGTTCGTCATAAAATTGATTCGACATAAGCGGTTTAATGGTCATTGCCACGACGCTGCTCCACCCTCACCATCATAAGGGTTCTGACCGTTAGATCCTCATCATTTACTAGACTCCATCTTTCA